AATCCCTTCTTAAAGTATATTGGAGTAGAATCAGAGTTGATCCTGTTCTCTGAGAAAGAACACTGAGAACACAAGTAATATTTCAGGGAGGTCTTCTGTCTCGGGCAACTCCCTGTCTCATGTCTGCTCTCATTCACCAAAGTTCTAAAAGATTGGGACCAGAAAATCATTGTGCATATTTAAAAAAACAAAAACACGAAAAAAACCCCACTCACATTAGTATGTTAATTCCACCAAAGGACTTACTGGTGTTGCCAAATGACAACTGTCTCTCAAGGTGATTGTACTGGCAGACTTGAATATTTCTTCCTATCCGATTCAGCTCATAACACAGGTTTAAAATGGCTGTTTTAGTAGTACTAGGTGATAAGAACTGAACATGTGTTATTGCAATATGAAATTAGTCTTCACTGAAGACGTAATTCCATATCACAGGAAAGAATAGAAATCCCCTTGATTTCTATTTGAGTTGTTATGTTGAGTATAAAATTAACACGTGGCTAAGTTTTAACTTGATTTGGTGCCTTTTAATTGTTTAAGATTTGAAAACTGTGTTTAGGGCTAACTATTCTGAAGTGTGAGACAGAGTTCAGTGAGTAAGCCCAACCAAGATCCGTGGGATCAGTCCCAGGAGGCCAGTGGGCTGTGTGTGGTAAAAGCAGCTCCCAGAAGGTGTTAAGTAGTTTGTACGATGGGAATAAAGAAACAAGAATTGCACTGAAACTGCCAAATTATCTTGAGCTTCCTGTTCCTGGGCATGGGTTTCTGCAGAACACATAATTCTTCTGTCAAAGGTAGCATACTGACATCTTGTTTGTACACTCTTATGGATATTAAAAAGGCAAATCTCTAGGAAATATTATTCTTATCCCTAATAAATAAGTAGTTTTCTGCAGACATCTCATTCTTCAGTTGTTTAATGTAATCAAATGTATTTGCTTCTGAAGTTAGGACAAACAAAGGAGAATAATCTGCTCTGTGAGAATCAGTAAAGGACGCATAGAACATCGTTACGTGTGCTTTGTCCTATTTGATTATATCTTGAAATTGTGATTCACCTTTTCTGGTGCTTGTACTGGCTGATCAATAAGTGGATTAATATTTCATATGCTCTTATCATTATTCATCTCCCCTTTAAAAATACACACGCATCAAACAAGTGCTTACAACGCTTCATGAAGTCTACTGCAATCTGTAATAGCATCAACTGCCCATATGTTATTTTTTTCCAGAAAGTGATAAATTTACTAGTCAATATTGTGAAAAATTATTGACCTCATCTGAAAAAGACCAAGTTTTTCTTTCAATATATCTCCAAAGCAGCAGTGGGTGTTCAGGCCCCGCTGTCTGCCAGGCACATTGCCCAAACTATGAAATAATTAAATTTGTTTGTAGGCAGTCTGAACTGAAACTGAGAAAGTAATGGTCTGCCAGTGAGATGGTAGTTGAGGAAGGTAAATGTGGTAAATGAGAAAAGGATAAAAAGAAATACATGTTCATTTCATTGCTTTTTCAATTACTGTTTTGTTTTATGTGATTCTGACATTCAAAAGTATAATACACAATGCAGTATTAATACAGATACTCAGTGTCTGAAGGCATAAAGATTCAGATATGATTTGGCTCTACATGTATGTTTGCATATTCCTAAATTGTAGGAGACAATACTTATTCTGATTTATGCTAACGATTTCTGTTGTATCCACTTTGATTACAAATAATTACTGTACTAATTTTCCAGACTTCATAAATGGTTTCGTCTTCTAATTCTGTACCTAATTATAATCAGATATAATATTGATATTAAGGAGTTGACAGAAAGACTATGTATTTTATTCCAAATATTATTTGGCTGCCTTGCTATCATCCCTAGATTGCTCAGGAGGACTGAATGATTCAGAAATTAGACCTTGAGGATCATCACATTTGCAGATATTAGCATTTTCAAAATCTGGCTGTGTTGTGCCAATAGGATTTTATACATCTGTTTTTATTTTCAACTATGTAAAATGTTCAGAATTCATTCCAGATGATGTATAACCAACTTGTTTTTCACTTTCCCATAAGTAAGAGCACTGAAACTGTCTTCACAATAAATGCTGCTGCTTTATTTACATCTACATCTACGAGCCAACCATGGCTCTGATCCTTCTAGTATTTGGTAGGTACTGCATTTTTGAGTACATAAGTATTATCCATGTACCTCATTGGGATGTGTGTTCATACCTCTTTTTCTCTCCCAGACTAGACCAAATTAATACATGGTTTCTAGGTATTTTTAAAACCATTGTATGTAAGTATTTGGTTTTTGGTTAGTTATGTGTGTGTGGGTTGGTTTGTTTGTTTGCTTTAAGAAAAGGTGGAATCCATTTCTTGGGCATCTGTATGGTACCTGAGACACAGGTCGAATTGGAGAGTTGAAGTGGTCAAAATAGTTAACTAAAGAGGATGATTAGTTGCCTATAGATAATCTTCTCTTGGAGAGCGAATTATTCTGCTACAAAAAAATATTGAAATAACTGAAGGAAGTGGTGAGCAAGAAAAGCTTATCTCCCTAAAGACAGCACTACAGATAAGTACTACTACATAAAAAATGGATTTCCAGTCACCACAGTTCAGCAGTGCCTGTACTGCTAAGACCCAGGCAAAGAAGCTGGTGAAATATTGATACTAAAATCTGTTAGAACAATCTCTGGTAATATCTAGATAAGCCTCAGTATTCCAGTTTTTGTTTTCTAAATGACTTGAATTCCCACAAACCCATGGTAAATTGCTCTTCAATGTGCTCCAATAGGATAAGAATTGCCATTTTAAGATATGAGACAAGTTTCTTCATGAACAAAAGAGTGAAATTTTAGATTTCACTGGAATTGTGGCAGGTTATTAGAGTTCTGAATTTGGCCTGTTTGCCCTTGGAACCTACAGGGAATGTTTTTTTTGAGTGACTGTGTAAAAAGAAAGGTGCACTTTGACAGGAATGAGAATAATGAACAGACAGCTGGAAATACCTAGGCATGTTATACTTCTTGGCAGACTTCACAAGCAGAGCTGCTGACTTGAGAGTTGCCTATAGGTCTGTCACTTTGTTCATCTCTATTGGGGTTGATTTTTCAGAACTACTTTGTCTCCGAGGTGTCATTTTCCTTATGGCTTACCTTTGCCTTTAAGTAATTAACATGTTTTATCTATTTTGAGTACTTACATTCACCTAAAACTCTGAAGTTGTTAGTTTACAATAAAAAAGTAATTGGAAAGAGATGGTGGCTTGTTATCCCATTATTTGTTTAGAGGCATAATTTGTGATAGCTTTATGACACATTTCTGTTACTTTATTTTTGAGGAGAAATTAATAGAAAAAGACAAATGAAATTACTCTAAAAATTGCTAATTTACTTAGTATTTGTTGCCCTTGCACTGTTAGACACTGCAAAATTCTGTCTAATACTACACTGAAAAAGAAGTTACACAAACAATGTGTTAAAAATTGTGATTAAGAGAGCAATAGCATGCTGTCACAGCAGATATTCAAAAAATTTCAAACACCTAGATTGATCAGACAATTAAAAAAAAAAAAAATAATGAAAGAATGCACAGTTAGATTTCAAACATGACAAGCCAGTACAGTCTGCTAACTTTGAGACCTGACCACAAGTTTGTGTTGCCTGCTTTTTCTGTTTAATTTCCAGTTGTGGGAGCCACAGGAATGGGCTGCAGGCATGGGAATGCTGCTGTTCATTCAACAGGGAGTTTCCCTGTTCCTGACTTCCCCTCCCCAAAGGCAAAATGGTCTGGCCTGTGAAACAGTGGCTTCTTTCTATGCAGAAGGCAGCAGGAAGAAATGCAGGAGTTATTTTGTTTCTGAAAATAATGCCTCTTAAAAGTTGATGTTTGGTGCTTTGCTTTCTCTCTCACTTCCCAGTGTTCATCCTCATTTCTTAAAGAATTGTCAGTTTTACTTAATCAGATTAAAACTGAGATTAAACAAATTAAAACTATTCTGAGGGTCATGATCTGGTAGATAAGTAAGATCTAAATTTTTTCCACCAAACTACTGAAAACTTAAGTGTCAAGAATTAATACAAATTAAAGCTCATGCCATCTTTCTCTATGCCAAATGTATGTTTGGGAAGTTCAACACAACAACAAAGACCCTAGTAAGCAGTTTTGATAAGGTAGTAAATTATTATAATAAAGTGTATTTCGAGGGGAAAAAAAAATGGCCTGCCTTTAAAAAAAAAAAAAAAAAAAAAAAAAAAATTTAACAAGCACTACCCTTGTACTTGTATTTTTGTGTTAGAATGTTGTTTCTTGCAAGCGAAATTTTATCTATTCATCAACTAGTTGAGAGTAAGAATAAAAAGTCTAATTTTAAGTGAAAAGAACAGAAGAAATCAGTGAACTCTACCTGAGGAAGCACGTGCTAAAGGAAAGCCTTGCATTCTCCATTATTGTGGTAAGCACAACCAAGCGATTTAGAACATTCTACTGTACTTCAAAAGTACTGAAGAAATTCAAGTCCCGTAATTTTAAAGTTAACAGTAACTGTTGAGAATTATCCTTCATCACAGTCAGATGGATTGTGTATTGTGTCACATGCTTGATTTCAGCTTACTGTGTGTTACAATTTATACAAAGGTAAAAGTACTTCTGTCAGTCTGTTTTGGTCTGTTGATGATTTTATTTAACTCTGGTGAGCTTTCACAAAGAGAAGGGATGGTGGGTCTTCCCTAGAGTAAGTTTCTGAGGCAATGTTCATCTGGCAAAGCTCTCTCTGCTCAGTGCAGTCAACCATGGAGTTTGCAGCAGGGAAGAGTGTTCAAAATCTCGTATAAGAGGCAGGAACCAGCATATAGTTAGGTGAAAAAGAGTCAAGAAAGGTGTTTTTCAGCTTTTCTTATATATATATATTTATATATTTATATTATTTATATTATATATATTTATTATATTTATTTATATATTTTCTTATATATATATATATATACACACACACACACACACACATATATATACATACGAAGATGCTGAGTTTGCAGTAACCTGAGAATAGAAAAGTGCTGAACCTTGGAGCAGGATTTGGCTGTATGGCTACCAAAAATACAGAGGAGTTTGCATATAAAATATTTAATTTGAACTTGTTTATTTCAATATAACTGAATTTCCTCTTATTTAAAAGCTACCTTGTTCCACTAGGGATTCTACTTAAAATATGGATTAAGAACTTTTGAAGAACTAATTCTAAGGCAATGGTGCAGACAGTTCTGCCTCAGAGTTCTGGCTTGCTTAGTAGCCTGTTGCACATCGTCATAAGCACACTTGCATTAGAGGAGTCTGTTTTTCTTTTTGGTGAGCTGGAACGCTTTTTCTTGCCTGCTTGTTAGCATATGGCTGTTATCTCCACAATGAGTTCTGGAATCATGTGATAAACTTCACGTGTGTCTTTACTTCACCTGCATTTCCTTCCTCAGCCTGCCTCCCACAGAATGTCTATAACTTCCCAAACCTTTGGGCAGTTTTAATTAGCTGGCTTTTTATTTTTATTTCTCTCTAAAGAATCTGCTGAAAATGTATCGTCTTCTTTCTCCTCCACCTACGGAATTAATCTTGAAATTAGGCTAACCTAAGGCCCAGGAGTACACTATCCTATCTTTGACCAGGGTTGAATTGCTGTCAGGCAGTCTGTTAAAGCAAGAAACAAGAATTGAGAGCTAGAACTAGGAAAATTATTTTGTTAAAAAGGGGAAATTACACTGAGTTACGAGTCCTGAGATACCAGAATTTAAAGGCTAACATTCTTATATAAAATAAAGGCTTTGAAGAGAAGGCTTTGGCTTACTTCAAATTTGTACAGTAGGGTACTATGGACAGCCACACCAAATTCTAAATGGTATGGACAAAACACGCATCTGGAGGTCCCAGTAAGTACACTGTCAAACCTACACATAGTTAATTCATCTAAGAAGTTTTTTGCTGGGATAAACATAGGCTCTCTAGATTCTGAAACAAAAGCCCTGTTATGAAGCAAATGAAACAGCTCCCTGAGCTCAAGCCAGCTGAATCTGTTATATTCAGTCCAGACTGCTTTACAACCAATAATTCTTTTAATTTATATACAGTACCCTGCTATTTCCAGAGGGATGGTTTTATTTGACTATCCATTCACCTAGAATACAAGTTTAAGTTAAACTTGATGGTGCCAAATATGGCAAGCTGATCTTATACCACTTTGATATCTTATTTTGCAAAGCCAAAACAAGCATTACCATGCTCTACAATTGTGGCTTACCAGACTTACCGTTAAATGCACAGTTTTAAAACTTACTATGGCATATCAAAGGAATGTGATCATTTGGATGCACATGACCAAAATTACAGTGCCAGAGTCATATCATTATGCACTATTTCCTGTATTTTCTTTACACTGTCATGAAATATAAAATAGATGCTACAAAATGTAGATTAACAAGGAAAAACAATAAGAAAGTATTCCTGAACTTGAGATGTTAAGAAACTTATAAAATCTGAAGGAAATTTTAAGTTTCATAGATTTTAACTTTATTTAAAATGCTAATGTCTGCTTGTAGAAAAAGAATTAAGTCAGTCTACCAAATAAAGTATCTATAATGATTTGCATAAATGTAGACAACTCCTGTGTAAAGTTGCTAAGATAGGTTGTTACTGGTTCCTTGTTTCTCACTCTACTTGATGACATGGGGGCAGATGACACTTCAGTGTAGCAGAAAGGCTTAAATAATCTACCACACTGAAGCACCTTCTTAATACTACAATAGTGCCTCCCTCCATCCAGCCCCTAACCCAACACGCATACACCTATTGCAAATACCCTATTCCGCAGGAGTGTAATGTGGGAGAGAGAGTATGACAACTATCAACAGGAACTCTGACACAGCTGTTCTTCTCTTGTTAGATGACTCGAAGAAGATGTAGTTTTGTTAATCAGAATCTCTGTTTAGAGTAAGACATGCAAGCGTCAAGCACGTTAAATAAAAGTGACAAAATCATGCTGCATTGTATCTAGATATTGCAGGACTAAGGCAATGCGTGAGACTGTCCTCTATGTGCATGTTTCAAAGGCTGAATATAAAGCTAACAATGGGAATTTATGAAATTTGGCTTGGCAACCATGATGAATTTATGAAATCCACATGCTATGGCACATTGGGTGATACTGTCACTGCATGATGAGGTCAGCAATGTGTAAATCAGAGGAAGTAAGCCATGTATGCAATGTTTCAAGATTTAAAAAAAGAAAAAGGAGAATTACTTCAAATAACAGAAGTAAACCCAAATAATCACAAGCGCATGTGTATGCATGGTCAAAGAACTTGACCCTTGATTCAATCAAGTACTTTGCTCAAAGTACGTGGAGATTTGAAGGGTAAGCTGAATGTAGGGATCAGGATAATGTGGAACTGAAGTTACTAGAAGTGATCTCTCTGACGAAGTAGAACAGGATCTACAGTTTGGACTTGCATCTTATTCTTCTGAATCCTTCAGGTGTGAAGGAGAAAGTCATGCAACAGATCCCCAGTACCTGCATTAGTCTGTATATATTGAGATTTACTCTAAATGTGTACACAGTTTACAAATGTGTACATGATAATACTCTAATCCCCGTAGATTTACTCTTCATCTTCATTTATTGAAGAAATGCAATAAAGTATGAGTGCAAGGAAGAAAAAATCTAAACGAGGCTTCTGAAAGACATTGGAGCTAAGGACATTTCTTCAAAGTTAAATCTTATTAATTTTTTTCACCGAGAAGTATGTGTTTAATTACTTTAGAAATCAGTTAGGAAACATTGGGGTACAAGTTCGTTTCTTTCCTGAGTTTGCGGGGGAAAAAAATATTCAAATCTGTTCTAGTTTCAATGTTTTTCAAGTGCCACTGGGAAGGCATTTATTAGATACATAGTATATCTGAATATGACAACACTGAATGGTTGATATTTTAACGAAAAAAACTTTCTGCCATTCCCAAGGTATTCCAGCTGTTAGAGTTTGAGACAGCTGTTAAGAAACTGAATGCAAAGACATTACAAAAGTGACATAAGATAAAAATTGACTTAATTATTCTGACAGTCCCACTGTATGCTACAGACTTCCATTCCTGAATTATGGGCTGACTGCGTAAAAGGCTAGTTTTTATACATTTATTGCAAAAATGTTCTTTTCAACAACAAAGACTAATTTTAATTTCTCGCCTCAGTCAGACTATTTATTTTAGTAAAAAGAATAAGCAGTGCATATAGGCTATATGTGTGATATGCTACAGTTACATCTGAAGAGGAAATAGCTTTGTTATATCCAAGTATACAAGTTTTAAGAATGCCATTGCCTCTTCTACTCTGTTGACTTTTTTTTAGTACTATATCATAAGAGAGTCTATCACAACAATTTTAGGAAAAAAACTGCATTCTAAATTGTCACATGTATTTGAAGAATCTGTGAGAGTAATTTCTAAGCAAATTGTTTTTTTTCACATGTGCTGTGTATTATACAATGGAGAAGAAAATACTATTTAGAAAAATAGGGGAGAAATCAAAAAAATTAATTGATTGAGGTAAAAAAATTCTTACAGAGAAACATCAGGAAAAAAAGAATATACGAACTAGATATAGGGGATAAAATGAGCTGTTTTGGGCACTCCATCTGTGACTGCTTTATTCCTGCTAAATCAGCATGTTTTACATGAGACTAGGTTACTTGTTTTAGCAGTTCATATTGGGCTCTCTTGATGTGCATTCCAAGGAAGATAACCCTCCCCCGCATACAACGTCTTCACAGAAGACTTGTTGGGGATCACCTGTTTCTTTCATGTTCTATAGAACTTCGGGAGATGAGAAGCATACAACATTGTTGCTTTTTGTTCAATTAATATATTGCTTTTTTTACATTCATACTGTTTGCTGAAATGTAACTTCATCCTTCAGAAAGCATTTTAACTGATACCTGCCTTTCGTAGTTGGCTGCCTTGCATGTACATATACTCTATACATCTGTGCTTTTTTCCATGGTTTCTGTTACTACTGTATTTGCGTCACCTAATTTAAAACAGACCTTCTACTGTTTTCAACTATAATGGTTTGTGGCTTAGTATGTGAAATAGAATTGACTGCACAAAATGTTAAATTCTGATGCTAGACATTCCAGCTAGGTCTTTACAGACAGGAATGTGCATTTGTCTGGGCAAGCATTATAGTCCTAGGGGTGCTTAACTCTTTTAGTGACAGCCTCAATATTTTGAAAAAAGATAAATATATTAAAACAAACAAACAAACATTCGTTTTAAAGAGAAGAAATTGCACTGGCATACCTACTATTTTTTCAGAGTAAATCTCTCACAATTACAAACTGTGGAAGAGATTGTGAAAGAAACATTGAAAATAGAATGCAATATCCAAAGCATATGAAGCCCTGAATACTAACTGTAGAATTTAAGAGAAATACCTACTAGCAGGGATAACCATCAGCTATCTCTGATATTTAACTACATCTGCAGAAGAATACAAACACATTAAATGCATAAATCCTCTAAAATGTTATAATATTTTAGAGCATGAGATGATTTATATCATTTTCCAGTCCTGTTTCCAATTTCTAGAGAAAGCAGATTCATCATGCTGCTCCAGTAAAAATGTGCTTAGTGACTAGAACAGTCACAAGAAGCTCATAGGAAGAGATCAAGCAGTTAAAACTGGAATCATCCCTGTGGAAAAGGAATACTATCTCTGCACAAGGCTAGGAAAGAGGTATGAGGGAGGGAGATACTCCCAGCATAGGAGAGACAGAGATGAGAATTTTGAACTGCTTTCTAACTTAAGTTTCTCAGGGTGGGCTGCTGGGAATTAAGGCTACCAAAAGTCCATGTCATTTATTTAAGCTCAGGTTTCAGAAAACAGATACTCTTGAGCCTGCTACTAAGAACCACCTTCTTCCTCTGCCTGTAGCAATTTCCGTATGTCCTGTTAATGCTTTGCCTTCTGCAGCTACATTTAAAAACCTTTTGTCATCATTTCTAGGGACAGAAGCAATTAAGCAAAACCTATTTCATGGACCTAGATATCTAGTGCGATCAAACAATCTTTCTTCCATGGGAAATCATCTGAAAAATATTGTTGCTGGTTCCTGACCCAAGTGGTCCCTGAGTTTTTATTACATTGCTAAACCAACTCTTCTTCCATTATCCAGTAGCCTGGCTACGTGAATTGTTTGGACACCTATTAGCAATGCGCCCATATCCCAGGCCACTAGCAGAACTTTTCTTAGAGGCTCTCTGTAGCTATTCTGATGATCCCAGTTGTCTCCTGGAGCAGAAAGAACAGTGTGTGAGATGGGAGAGAACAGGTCATAGGCTGTAAGTTCAAGACACTGAGTAATCACAGCATGTCAGACTTACACAGTGGACTCTGGTTAAAACAAGTGGTGGGTCGCCTTGTTAATAGTTCTTTTAAATAATGTCATGGAAAGAAAAATGACTAGCACACACTTTGGATCCATTATCATCACTGGCATAAAATTTACTTCTAAAGTAATGTGCTAATTTAATTGGGTTTTTTTAATGGGTAATTATCACAGTGTTTTACTATGAACCAAACTGAAAATACTTCAGGAAAACAGGGTTTGTGTTTATATTTCATTATGTGATAAGGCATGAGGCTCTTGAAAGACAGGAAACTGATTGAATTGATAATTCTCAGTTTTTCCCATTCTGAAGCTCTATCCCCTCCCAGGACCCTTCTGTCTACTCAGAAACTAGAGAAGATTTCCCTGTCTATTGAGGGAGAATGTAATGGCCGGAGACAGAACAATTCAAGTTAAAGTCTTACAATCTAAATACCATATGATCACTGAAGCAGTTAGATCATGCAAATTCATTTTCTAACGCTTTTAGAAAGCACTAGGATGCTTCTGTAGCATTCACAAGCAGTTACGCAAAAATAAATATGGCTGCATCGTGTTAGTTTTGAGATCCATCTAACCCAACATCCTGTCCCAGAAAGTGGTCAGGAGAAGAAGCTTACAAGAATGTATCCACTGTGCTGTCCTGTCTTCTGAAGATCTAGTAGAATCTTGTAGATTCTAGTAGAATTCTGGGGTGGAAACATCTGTACCATCATGTCTGAGAGCTACTTACACATCTATTCTACACCAGTTTGCTTAACCGTTTTTTTTTTTTTTTTTAATCTGTTAATATCTTTAGAATTCAAAATAATGCAGCTATGAGTGATATGACTTTGAAATGCAGTATATGAAAGAGTGTTTCCTCTTTTTAATTTTAAATCACACAGTGTCTTCAGATTACTGTCAGGTTGTTGGTTTTTTTTGTTTGTTTTTTTTTTGTTTTGTTTTGTTTTGTTTTTTACAACAAGAAAGAAAAAAAAATTCCTGGCCATTTTCCCTATTATCTTGTCCAGGGCAACTTGTATCAGAGCTAAACAGCCTTATCTTTCTTTTTCCATTCTATAATACTGTTTAATTTGGAAATCTTCTACTTACATAGTGTCATACTGAAACATTCTCTTGTGAAAGGTGATCACCCATTATGTGTTCAGAAGATGTACGTGCTAAAGATCTAGTCAGTGTAAATTATTTTCTGTGTATGTTACTTTATTCCTATTCATTTTTAACTTGTCTTTCTGTCCACACCTCAATATTGAGTGAACTACTGTTTTCAGAAAATTATCCAGTTAACTATAAGATGTTTTAGAAGTTTCTTAATAATTTATAACCCAACATATTACATGCGTATTTACAGTAAGAATAATCATAGAATCACCGAGGTTGGAAAAGATCCCCAAGATCATCCAGTCCAACCATCCACCTATCACCAATATTTCCAACTAAACCACGTCCCTCGGTACAACATCTCAACATTTTCTGAATGCCTCCAGGGTCGGTGACTCCACTGCTTTTCTGGGCAGTCCATTCCAGTGCCTGACTGTGCTCTTGGAGAAGTATTTCATAACGTCCAACCCGAATCTCCCATGGTGCACCTTGAGGCCATTCTGTTTAGTCTTATTGCTAGTTACATGGGAGAAGAGACTGACACCCACCTCACCACAATCTCTTTTCAGGTAGTTGTAGAGAGTGATAAGGTCACCTTCTGAGCCTCCAGTTCTCTGGACTAAATAGTCCTAGTTCACCTAGCTGCTCCTCATAGGACTTCAGCTTTGCTGCCCTTCTCTGGACACACTCTAGGGCATCAATGTCTTTCTGTAGTGAAGGGGCCAAAACTGAAGACAGTACTCACATGTGGGCTCACCTGGATTGAGTATAGGGGGATGATCACTTCCTTGCTCCTGCTGGCAACACTATTTCTGATACAAGCCAGGATGACATGCTTACTGGCTCATGTTCAGCTAAGCATCGAACAATACTTCCAGGTCTTTTTCCTCTATACAGTCTTTCAGCCACTCTGCCCTAAGCCTGCAGTTGTTGTGGCCAAAGTGCATGACCTGACATTTGGTCTCATTTAACTTCATCCCATGGGCATTTGCCCAGCTATCCAGCCTGTCCAGATCACTCTGTAGGGCCTTCCTAGCTCCAGGTGATCAATGCTTCCTGCCAACTTAGTGTCATCTGCAAACTCACTGAGGATGCACTCAAAGCCCTCATCCAGGTCATCAATAAAGGTATTGAACAGAACAGGCCCCAATACCAACTCTGGTGGAAATTACTCATGACCAGTTTCTAGCTGGATATGACTCCATTCACTACTACTCTCAAGACCTAGCCAGTCAGCCTGTTCTTTACCCAGCAAAGAGCGTATCTTTCCAGGCCATAGGCTGACAGCTTCTTCAGGAGGACAGTATGGGAGGTAGTGTTGAAGACTTTGCTGAAGGTTGGTCAAGCAGGACCTGACTTTCATCAACCCATGCTGGCTAGGCCTGATCCTCTGGTTGTCCTGCAAATGCTGTATGATCTCCCTCAGTGTGATCTGCTCCATAACCTTACTTGGTGCCAAGGTCAGGCTGAGAGGCCCATAGTTTCCTAGCTACTTCTTATGATCCTTCTTGTAGATGGGAGTCACATCGGCAAGCCTCTTATCTTCCGGGACCTCTCCTGTTGACCAGGAATGCTGATACATGGTGGAAAGTGGCTTGGCTGTCACTTGCACGCAGCACCCTTGGATGGATTCCATCTGGCCTCATGGACTTGGGGCAGACCAGATGGAGTAGTAGGTCTCTAACTGTTTCCACATGAATAATGGGAGGTTTATTCTGCTCCCTATCTGGCACTTCCAGGTCTGGAGGTAGAGGATAACTGGTCTGACTTTTAAAGACAGGTATAAAGAAGGTATCGAGAACATCAGCCTCTTGCTTATCCTCAGTGATCATGTTCCCTGCTGCGTCTGGTAAAGGACAGAAATTTTCCTTAGTCTTTTTCTTACTGTTAATATGTTTGTAAAAAAGTTTTTTGTTCTCTTTTACCCCAGCAGCCAAGCTGAGTTCAAGCTAGACTTTTGCCTTCCTAATTTTCTTCCTGCACATGCTAACAGCTTCTTTGAACTCTCCCCAAGTTGCTTGTCCCTTCTTCCACAGGAGCTAAATTCTTGTTTTCTCGTGAGCCTCCCTGTTCATCCACGTTGGTCTGCTTCCCTGCCAGCTCATTTCGCAGCACAGGGGGTTAGCCTGCTCCTGTGCCTTTAAGACTTCCTTCTTAAGGAGTGTCCAGCCTTCATGGTCTCTTTTATCTGTCAGGAACTGAATTCCAAGGGACTCTCCCTACTAGTGTCCTGAACAGTTGGAAGTCCACACACCAGAAGTCCAAGGCAGCAGTTTTGCACCCCTCCCCCCCCCTCCCCAACTTCACTAAGAATTGAGAACTCTACTATTTCATGGTCACTCTGCTGAAGACAGCCCCCAACCTCCATGTCTCCCACTAGTCCTTCCTTGTTTGTGAACAGCCAGTCCCCTCTAGTGAGGAGGTGCCCCATGAGAACAAAGGCTGGCAATCATGCAACTCCTGCGTTCAGAATGCCTCATCTGTCTCTTCATCCTGGTTAGGCAGTCTATTACAAACTCCCACAAGGATGTCCACCTTGTTGTCCCTTCCCCTTATCCTTAAAAATGTTCATTTTGGGAAACACACTCTGCATAATGAAACCATGCCATAACTTCGTGTTTGTAGCCAGGGAACGTTGCTTTGTCATTATCACAGAGCATATATCTCCCAAGTCACAGCTCTTGTGAGCAAGATTTTTTGATAACTTTAGAGGATAAGAGAGGGAACAGCTTCATTTCGTGAAGGAAATGTAAACAAGGAAAAACAGTTACCCTAATGATAGAAATTGCTATTACACTTTCTGTATTTTCCTCTAAATTTTGTTCTAATAGGAAAGAAGGTCTTTATCTCGGTATATGTACTAAAACCATGAAAACGCGATTCTGCTTCTAAAGAATAGAAAGGTTGAAATATTAGATTTCATAAAAGTTTGGTATATAAAGGCAAAAACATACATATGATATTCTGGCAATGTATGGTAGCTTAAAACATTAGCATTCACATTTTTCTTCCACCCAATACTGCTTTGTTCCTTTTACGGATGTAGGTACCTTGGCTTTTTTTTTCTGCCAGGTGCATATCACTTCAGCTTTTCACTAGGTATATTAACATTTATGTAGGCGTAGCTACTTCATGAAAACTTGTGAACAAATTATTATTTACACCTTTCTAAGAAAAAGTCTTCATTTATGATACAGTTAATAATTTAGTAAAATTGTCTTTGCTTTTATTGGTATCAAGTTTTTATTTAAATGCCTTTTTGAAAAGGTCACTGTAGAAGAAAGAAACTTTTTGTATGTGAATAATCAAAATCTATTTCTTGAGAAGCTTCTGTATTTCTTGGACATTTTTTATTTCCATTGTGGGTTTTTTTGTTGCTGTTTTTCTTTCTTCTTTGATAAGAAAAGATAAAGCTCTTAGTTATTCTTACAGTTGAAAAAAGCATTTTGGCTTTTAAAAAGATCTTTAAAAAATATATATTGTGTCATTTTTGAGAAAAGTTGAGTTATATTTGTATACAGTTTTAAATCAAATTTCTTTGGGAAATTTTCACTTTTTATGAGATATAATTTTATATATTATATATAGATAGATATAGAAAAATTTCTTTTTTGTTAACATTGATGTCTGAGGCTTTTTTTTCTGCTTAATTTTTTTTCTTCAAACTACTTGTCATTACCATGTTATCATGGAAAAGTAGCTTTAAAGGCTGGTAGTGAAGAGTATTCAATTTTATTTTAAGTAGTACTCTAGGTTTATATGACACATTGCATTTTTTGATAACTGTTACTATGCACTGAACTAGAACATTAGTAGTGGAATTATTTTCATTTTTCTATCCTTATGGTAATCTGATTACCCAGGTTTATGAATCAGTCTTGCTCAGTTTGGAACATCTGCAATTTCACTAGACTATATTCAGTCTACCTTATTTTTACTCACATATTTCATACGATCTGTTAGATCACCATGTAATGGTTTGTGCTGACACACAAACAATTCCAGTTTTCTCAGTCACTTCCATGTTTATGAAATTGTCCACTGAGACAGATTTTGAAAACAGTGTTAATTTCTATAATCAGTACAACTGTTGAAAACTCCATTGCTTTTTTCATTTTAAGTAAAATCAGGTTACCCCCCCGCTTTCTCCCATGAATTTCTTGATGCATTCAATAAGCAGTTTAAATTCTACCAACTCTCTGTAGATCATTAATTTGCAATCTTGAATTTCACATGGAACCAATATTTAAGTCTGAATACTACAACTCATTTCCAGAGTTCCTCAGAAATGATGATTCCAACCAACTCCACCATTAGCTTTCCAAAAGTTGATGTGGCTGCTAAACATGCTACTTCTGCTATTTCTGGTGCATGCCCTCCTCATAAAAATTTTTTAATCTTCGAATTGCCAACTTTAGAGAAACTTGTAAGAACAAACAAACAAAACAAAACAAAAAAAAAACAGGGTTCTGTAGTCTGAATGTAATTGCTCATTAGAAATTCTCACTTTGCTCAACTGAAAGATAGATTCTGCGTTGGCAGCTGGAAGTACGCTATGGAGTCTCCTCTAAATGGCTTCAGGGGAACGAAAAATAAATGTAACCCAGAAGGCATTTCTGTCAAGAACCAATAGCATATAATTAGCAGCCAAAGTGTAGAAGAGGTTCCCTCTGATATATATCAGGCTATAAAGTACTGGCTTCTGTCTGGAAATTCCATTTTATTATGTAATATATTTTGGAGCAAATCAGCAACTATTGAGCCAAGACACAAGTGCTACAAGAACTGGGATTTTCATTACTGCAAAACCACTGCTTTATCTTTCAACTGCTTTAAATAAATCACTGAAAGAAATTTAAAAAAGTATTAACAAAATCTATTCCTTAAAAAATATCTATTTCTATAGTTTGCCCACAAAGTTAGACATTTCTAGTACATCTAAGAATGTAGAGCACCTCACTGGGAAAAAGTAAGTTACACATTTTAGGAAGACAAAGTATATATGAACTTAATTGTGCTTAATTTTTTTTTGTTTAGAACATACCTGAAGATTTAAGAATTCCAAGAATGAAGGAAGGCTATTTAATCCCTTCACACATGTCCCACTTGTGAGAGCACAGGAGGATTCCTACAGAATTTAGTAACAAAAAATTTAAGACAATTTAACTCCTTTTTTAAATTTTACTTTACCAGAGAGTGTATTTGTCCATGAAGCTGGCAGAAAGTCAAGTTAGTGTATAAATTACAAAAGGATCCTTTTCATCTTTACTGGATTCCACTTTTTTAGGTCACAGTAAGATAAGAATACACAGAGGAAACAAGAAACTTCTCCATATTTAGGAGTATGGTTGTGAGAATGTGAACCATCCGTAGCACTTTGTTTCGACTTCTTATGAATCAGTTATTTTAGAGTCTTATCTGCTGGCTAGTATTCAGAATGTAATAAAATCAATGAAGATTTTCCCCTTTTCTTTAGATAAGAGCTGAATGAAGATAGTAGAAACATTTATTTTGAGATTCTAGCTAATTTTTCTGGTATTGCACACTAAGCTGACTAAAAGGAATTTTTATCAGTAAAACTCTTCTTTAAATATCAGCCTTACTGAGGTCATAAAAACTCAGACATTCAAATAAAAGACTAAAAATTATACTGTATATGTTCTAATTTTCTCTAAAGGTTTTCAATCTGAAAATGGACATTTTTCTTTCAAATAGTTTTTGTTTAGAGGAATCAGAGCTCATTTCTTGTGATAATCCAATAGACAAAACCAAAACAGTTATGCTTGCAGGCAAACACTTCACTTTTATGAAATGCCAGCAGTCATTATAATTTATAGCTTGAGTTTAAGATTGCTAGTTTCCTAAAACTAGCAGAAGGACATTGTGATCAGATTCTTGATAGTAAATGTCTTACCATATGCAAATGCTTTCATTTTCTTTTTGGGATTGTTTGTAAGCATTCTCAAAAAAGGACTGTGATAGAATTATTCTCTCATTATACACTGCTGTAACTTTTATGCGTTTAAAATACAACTTTAGAAAAAAGTTTGTGTCCTAATCACAGTCATCATAATTTCCTTTCTGGTAGTGAATAATGTCAACAGCTTTGTTTGTTGTCTTGTTTATATTAGAAAGTTAAAAGGGTGTCTTTCAACATGCTGCATAATTAGTACATACTTTCAATTTTTTTCCTGACCCACTATCCGGTTCTCGGAGGAAAAGAAAAAACAAGTGAGAGACCTCACAGCACAAACTTCCAAATCTACAGCAGGAATCTAAAATAAATACGAATCCCTTTGGGCTCTGAAATACAGTTTTCCAGACACAAGCTCCACTGATATCACTGTCAGGGAGTTCATTCCCTTGATCAATTCTGTTTACTTAGGCAACTCACTTTGAATTTGTGGTTTAGTGTTTGGTGGTTCTGAAGGGTGCTTCTAGCAGACATCAAGAAAATGAGACAAAGGCTGTAGGTGCTAGTAAGTAAAACTACTTATGGTGATTCAACTGTTTCTTTCTTAAGTACATTGCTCCCCATGTTTAAACAAACCAACAACAACAACAAAAAAAAAGCAAACAAAAAAAGGAATACTTAAGAAGCATTTCTGAAAGAGAAATATGTGCATCCACAGCTGTAGTCTATGACCTCTTTCCTGATGGGAACAGAGATTCCCACTGGCAGGAGATCTTCAGCTTCACCTTCAAAGGAAGGGAAAGAATGTGGTGCAGAAATTGGAGTTGAGCACGAAGGCTATCCTGAAATTCTGTCTGGGCAACACAACACAGTCTGTATTTGTAATAAAAAGTTGACTAATTATGCCTTCTTTCATTGAAATGATAATTTTTTTTTCAAGTGCTTAAAAAGCAAATTCTGTGTACTTTACTAGTGAGCTGAAGGGTAATACTGCTTGGAAAATAACTTGGTTCAAATGATAATGTTTTTCCTTAGAGAGAATAAAGCATCAATAGAGGACAGGAGGTGTGTGTAGATGTGTGAAATGTGTTTGAACTAATTAAGACGTTCCAGTGGAAGGAACAATGCTTTTGTTGAAATAAGCGAAAATCGGTGCTATTCAGGATAATTGTTCAAACAACCAAGTTATATGGATTTACAGTAATACCTTTTGAAGTTAATTGTCAAAAAACTTGTGTATTGCATCTTAAATTTAAGTCAAATGTCAAGTGATCTTAATATGATGCTTGTGAATACTGAAGAGTGTTCATTTTAGATGCTGAAGTAACACACATATTTAGAAATATGTATGGGAAGTGAGAAACTGAAATCTTGAAGGTAAGAGATTGAAATATTTTGATTTCTTACTGCTAGAGTGTTATGAGTGTTTCAGTGTATGTAAAAGTAAAGAATAACGGCACAGGTTTTTAAATGTCTGGCAGCTACTCGTGCATATGCAGCTACCTCTGCATGGGAAGCATAAAACTTTCAAAGGTGGCACTCAGTACTACAGGCTGTATCTGTATCACAGAAAAAGCAACGTTTCCCAGCTGTCAAATCTGGCCATACTCTTGTCTCACCAGGACAAGACAGGAAGGTCATGCTTCTTTGCCTAGAGGAAAGCCTTAAGGAAATGAGAGTGTGCCTGGCCACAAGCCAGTGGTACTGTGATCACGCACATGTAGACTTCCCCAGAGAATGTGGGTGCTTCTAGGAAGGCTGGTAGTGTGAAGTCTGATTATACACAGTTTAATATCTCAGTTGCAAGGTAACAGGGACAGGCCTCTGCCAAGCGCATGCTCTGGAATATGTGTTGAAATTGTTTTAATAATAGAGAATCTGTTTGCTAACCAGTGTGCCAACCAGACTAGAAGTTCCTGGGAGAGCTGATGCGGAGTTGGGATGTGCTTGAGGAAAGGAGAAGATGCTCCACTAGTGTTTCCACTTCTTAGAAAATAAGTTCTTCTGGTGTGACTTCATGTGTGCTCGAATGAATAGCTCTTGGTGACGAACAGACCCCAGCGTAAGACAAAAGAAGAAACTCATTCCATAAGAACAATTCTTATAAAAGAGAAGAAAGTGAAACTGTCTCTATGAGCTGACCGCAGATTGTTCATTCTGATGCACACTGGGACTAATTTCTTTCCAGTAAACACCCACTCTGAAAACACAGTCTACTTTCCATTTGTGAGATGAAGTCCTTTCTCACAAACAATTAAATTTATCCATAGATAGTCAGTATAGCTTGATCAATTATGTTGTGATATGTTGCTGAAAAAAATCAAGACAGTAAAAAAAAAAATAATTCTAAAATGGCAACACAGAGAAGCTCTCTAATAAATTCTGCACCAGTTAGGCTTGGGCACTGCTTATAGAGCAATGTTGTAGTGTCTAGATTTCACTTCTTTGACTGGACTGAGTGGCATGAAACTTGTTAGCAGTTGTTATTGTGCTGGTCTCATTATTGACATGGTTTCTTCTATAGTGATAGAGTATTCTTTTTATCAGATGTAAGATGTATACCTGGTATGTGACTTAAGTTCAGCAGAGAATCCTTTGTACTGTGTTGACTATTTGGTGCAAATAAATATCCTCCTATGAAATAACAACATTGATTTCTTAGTTTAGTGGTTCATTGGAAGATGAAATCCAGCTGCCTAAAATTTGAAAAGTCAAAAGTAATACTGCTTAAAATACTGCTTGTGGAGTCTCTGTAGATCTGCAGAATGCTTGAATAATTGTTGCAACCCATGAAATACTAATAGCAATGCTTTTTCCTGGGAAGCCACCAGACCCTTTCTGTCATGTTGCAGGTCTGGCTGTGGGAAGTTGGCAGTCTGGCCAGGACACAATCATGGGGCTCCTGGAAATGACAGCTGTTGGGAACTGGCCATGTTCTCTTGCTCTGGCTCTTGCAACTTGTTTCCAGCTTCTGTCACTGTCATGCTGAAGAGTTTTGGGTATTGGCCAAAGGTATATACTGGGCAGCTCTGTTGCGCACTGGTTGTATTGCTCACAGATCAGCATGTGTCACACACACTATCACCATACTAAGATGACAGCATGTCTGATAATATCCATATGGCCTTTCAGCCCTACCACAAAGATTAGGTATCGTTAAGAGCAAAATTACAGAATCAGACAGACACAGAAATGTAGAGGTTGGATATATAGCTTTCATCAAATTGTATACCAGACTTCATGTTTTTTTTCTCTAATTCTATCAGTCTACTTTTTCTCCAAGAACACAGAGTATGATAATGCGATAGCAATCTGTGATTCAGTGGAATGCTGTAAGACAGAATCAGAAACCATCTAATTAAACTCCTTCAATATTTTGGAGCATGTTGATGCATACAAATTTGACAATTTGTACATACACATACAATACAAGGGAGCGGAGCTGTCAAAATTCCTGCTTCTCTTTATTCTGGGATGAAGAGCAGCTTAGATGTTAAGTCATCAAATATCTTTGTCTTGCAACCTTTTGTTGTTTATTAGCGGGGAATAACATTTTTATCCCAGAGTATAATGTTCCCAAGGTTCAGGTCATGCAGATCAGTCCAAAGAGAAGAATACTGGCCAAGAATACATCTGGAAACAATGTTAAAAGCAGACAATTTCTGTGTGCCCAGCTATTTGGAAGATCTGAGAACTGAACAGAATAGGCTCACGCTATGATGTTTCTGAATTATTTCTGTAATAATACCTACCTCTTGGACTGCTGTCAACAGACGGATATTTGTTTGTTATGAAACTGCTACTGTCAGTGCTGTCATTGATCTTTCGTATGTCTGTATGACTGTTCAATTGGAAGATTGATATGCGGTAAAGCAATGCCCATAACTTACCTGGGCTGGGAAGGATTTGTCCTAACCCAACTTGACTTGTACTGAAACCTCATTAAATAATTCAAATGCATCATTTTGGCGCTTCTCAGAAAAAGTTAGATCTTACAGCACAGGTAAAGGAAATAAAAGCTAAGAAAATAACTGAATTTTCTTTAGTTGACTATAAAGTAAGATGATAGATTGAAATATCTCCTATATTTTGTGTGTCTATATTGCACCCATTTACCTTTGGGGTCTTAATTTCTTTCCTACTTCCTTTTCTTTCAGTTCTGCATCAGGACTCCATCCAGTTCAGTATTATATTTCTAACAGGAAGAAAGGAAAAAATGCAGCCAATTAAATGATTCAAAGAAAAACATTTTAATGCCCCTTGTGTGGCTATGTTCATAGATGTTATTGTAAACATTTTTTCTTTCTTTTAGCTATACTATAAGAAGTATGCATAATTATTGTCATAGGCATAGAAATAGTTTCAGGTCAGTACATTTTTCAGGGTACAAGTAACACTTCTGCAATTTTATAGAACATATGTCGATTTATTTTATTTCTTTTTCATTTTCATACTACAGACAATAAACTTCCACTTTGGAATATCCACAGTTCCACAGTGTTGTTCATTGTTTTTTTGTTTTTGCTTTGTTTTGTTTTGGTTTTTTCCTTCAAGATTGATTGAGGTTTTTTTTTTTTAATTTATTTTTTTAAGATTTATTGTGCAGTTCAGTGAACAGGTTTTGTTAGCTTTGTTTTACTGACATTTAAACTGAACTGAGATTTCAAAATAATCATAAACTATTGGCCACCACCCTGACTGGAGGCCTGGCTAGCCTATTCTGACGTGACTACTGCAGGTGCCTTTCACTTCTGACTACTCCTTTTCTGGCAGACAGGCTGTTTTGCATCAGACATTCCCATTTTGCTTTTTTGCCTGTTTAAATTCTTAACCTACATTCCCCATTGGACTGTAACACTTCATTATTTCTGCTTTGTCCCAGCACTGCACACTTGGCTGTTATGCTTTGCCCAGATCAGACATTCGAGAGAAGAGGTGCAAAAGTAGTAGTTCAACAGTCTATACCAAAAATTACACACTTGGCCACTGTACTTAGCATTGCTTATTTCCAGCTCTTCTGTTTTGACATTTTACTTCTCTGACACTTAATTCTCAGAATTAATGTTTCATAAATAAAGTGAAGTAAAGGTTTTTAAATCTACCTTTTCTGAGATGTTATCTGGTTTCATCTATTGCTTCAGTTTAAGCTGGCCACTATTCTTCTCATTAAAACATATTCCAGGGAGACAGGCTCTCTTGGCAGAAATCATCCCACACTAGTCCTCATTTTTCTAATTAAAAAAAAAACCATTATATTTATCAATATGAAACATTTCATGAACATCATCACACAGCAACTGTAGTGTTTGTCAGACTGTGCTATAATAAAAGGTTGAAGGAGTTCTTACAGCAGAGAGATAATAAAGAAAAATATATGAGGTGAAGGGTGGAGTTCAAAATGTCTTGGTTTTGTTTCTTTGTTGTTGTTGTTTGTGTGTTTTCCTGTAGCAAACTGTTTTCTTGGAGTTTCTAGCTTTTTCCATTCCGTTTACAGTGTAGTTGAAGACCTGGTAAGCTGAGTTTGGTAAACAGTCAGTATTTGTTATAAAGTTAGGTTAGTATGCATCCTGAATCTGTACTATTCATGCTGAAGAAATCATCTAGTCTCAAAGAATAGGGTGATTTTAGAGAGCACAAGTGATATTTTAGGCTATATCTAAATAGAAGCACTGAGATTCAGTATTATTTATACTTTTTGAATTAGAAGAATTCAAGCAGGATGAATCATTAACTGCTTTGTATTGTTTGATGTCAGTCATTAAATGGTGAAATTCTGTTGTTTCACGATTACCATAATCTCAAAGGTTAATGAATCAAACAAGATAAACAAGTATCATTATTCGTCCCTAATTAAGGAAAGTCATGGTAGATTATTGTATGGCTCAGTTAGCTAACGCGAATAGTTCAGATAGCAGTTTAAGAGCCACAGAACTGAGCAGTATTGCATTACAGAATTTTACTTTCTAACAGTGTTAGTTTTACTTCCTTCATGCTGGCTGATTGTCATAACTTTAGTATGTTTTTTCCTGTGTCTGACTAGTACAAAATAATTTACCCTGGTTAAGTGGCAAAATAAAGCTCTTTAAATTTACCTCTACTTTTGTTTGGATGCAGTGTGTTTTTTAAAATCAAGAACATTGACCTTATGGATCTCATTAACTTTAGAAAATTTATCAGCCAACAGAATGGAAAATAATTGCAGCTCAATAAAGAAGCCTTTGTTTACTAACAGCTAAGATGAAATCCTTCCATTATATAAACTCCCTTTAACTTCTTGGGGGTATAGGCGTTCATTTCAAATGAAAGTAGCATGTCATTAACTAGATTTGTCATTGACTTAGTTGAGAATTATAACCTAGACATAAAGCGTGTAAAAGAACACAAGTTAATATAGCAATATTGAGTGAATATTGCTATAGTAATACAAGGGAAGAGTAGTTTGACAGCCGTTGCCCTCATCGTGTATTCTTAATCACTCAAGCCTCTAAGATTATTGAATTCTCCATAATTTTTAATTTTAGCAGGAATTTACTTTTTTGGAGTGTTTTTTTTTGTTTGTTGGTTGGTTTTTTGGTGTTTTTTTGTTTGTTTTTGTTTTTTTTTTTAAATCTGCAAATTAGAGGAGATTTTTTACTAAGATGGTTGACTCTTTTGTATATTTGTCTGTACAGTGAACCTTTGGTACGAACAGAGAGCAGAGTGACCTGCTCCATGATATCTGCTTCAGTACCAGTGTGAGAATGGTAGGGACAGGGAAGAATAAGCATCTCTTAGTTACTGCATATCGTTTGCATGCCATGGGTAATCAATTATATTGGTGTGTTACCTAGTCAGAATTAAGGAACAATGCAAGTGCATGAATTGTAGTTTGGCTACTGAGAAACAGCAAAAAATCCTCCAGTTTATACTTATGCTTAAATCATGATTGGTCATATGCTATGCTTTTGTTTCCTTTACAGTTTCATGTACGTTTTTACTCATATTGAAGTCTACTTACATTGTTTGTGTCAGAGAGCTATGACCATTAACTCTGGCATAGGATCAACTTTTTGTTCTGTGTTTGTGAAGTGATAAACCCTGTTACGGTCCTTCTTGTTCATGAGTTTACATGATGTCTGCTCCTAAAAAAAATTAATAATGGTTAATTTTTCATTTTCACTCACACAAGCAAAATTTAAAAGTGAAGATTCTGTTACAAAATATAGCAGTCATATCAGTGATAGGGAAGATATGTAAGGTAAGCTCCCTGAAGGTAACTGTTCAGCAGTACAAACTTTTGCAGCTTGCTTGAATTGAATTAAACAAGTCATTGATAAATGTTTTTCTCTGTGCACGTACAGTACGTATTTATCTGTCTGAACCAATATGTTTTGCCACCCTTAATATATGCTAAATTTTATTTCATTTCTGAAATACTCTTACTAATTTCAGTAGAATTTCCTTCTTGCAAGGACAGAATCTACTCAGTGAGAATATGGAAAGAAATGAAACACTAATGTTCTTTTATTAGGTCACACAGTAATCTTTGGAAAAATTAGACACTTCTTAAAAGCTGGTAGGATTTATCTTCTCCAGAGTTAGGCAGAAATTTTTCATCTGAAGCTGTCATGTAGCCCAAATCTGCTGTAGGTGTGCTTGAAATTGTTGCTTTGACTATGGAGTATGATAAAGGGGGGAATAAATCTAGCATTATATTGTTCTTTTCCTTTGGGCTAATCCATATTCTATATCTATTCAGAACAGAGATCAACAAATCTTGAAACACGGAAAGAAATGTATCATTTCTACTTCATTATAATTCAGTAGGAAATATTTATCTCTTTTCCCCTTTCCTCTCTCCTTTTGCCCTTCCACTGCTGAGCAAACATGAAATGTTTTCCTCTCGGTACTGTAGTGAAAGGTATTGATTTAGAATCCCTAGCTGTATCACAGTACACAGGATTTGAACTGTTCAGGAACTTCTACTAAACTCCGTGCAAGAGCTTATGCAGGGAGATGCCTGGAGCTATTAGGGATGGGGTAAGAGCTGGGTCTTTCATGCATGGGGACCTTGCAAAGATTGCCCAATTCCTTTTTGCAGATTACTGTAATGACAGCAGTACTGACCTAGGAAGACAGGGGAAAACACTTCCTGAGTGCAGTCACCCTCTTTTCTTCTTTGCAGGGAATTTTCTGGCAGACCATAAACTCTTCTGTGTTTCCTTTTCCATATGACTTAATGAAAAATGAATTCCTGGTCATGGCAGTGGGCACTGAAGTCCACACCTCTCATACAAGAATATACATTTGAATTCTGTCAGGTTGAATAAGAATCTGGTTGGAGTGTCCTGAGTAAATCATTAGGTAGTAAAAGGAGAGACATTTTCACCTCCCCTCCCCCCCCCCCCCCAACGCCACCTTTTTTAGCTTTGCCAGTGACATTTGAAAAGAAAACAGGAGTGGCTTTTACTTCAGCTAGGCAATTTTCAAAGTTTTTGTAGTAAAATTGATGAAATAAGTTATAGAGCAATTACCTGCTTCTCGTGAACATTTTCATCTCTTTTAGGTCATTTTCTAACCCCAAAACCTCAAGTGAAGTAGCTTTAAGGAGTTTTCCCATATATAGGAAAAGCGTCTGCTTTCATTCCTCCCCCACCTCCTTCTTGGGCAGGGCCTTAAGAGGGTGGGGAAAGCTTTGGCCTTCACTTCAAATAGGTGAACATCTGCTGTAACTCTCAAAATGGATGTATATATTCTTGTTATACGTCTCTGTGGCTGTTTTTCTGAAGTAAATATATGATTATGTTGTGTTTTGTATTGTAATCATCTGTCTCCCCCTCTCCATGCAGGAGAATGCTTTTCTCTCTATTTTAACATTTGTTCTTTCATAAACCCACAAATGACAACTTAAAGAATAACTAAATATTCACTCTGGCAAAGCCAATACTCTTTTCATGAATGCCATGCCTTTTGCATTAGAACATCACATGGTAAAAAGCCTTTGTGCTGAAGGACTGATGCATGTCTAATTGGCACAGGCAGCATTTTAAACAATGTTTAAACTAGAAATGGTTGGAAATTTCATGTCACAATATATTTTCAATCTACAGTACAGTTTCTACAAACCAGACTTCTTAATGGATGTTCATTTTTTAAAGAATATTTTTTTTCTCAGATGAGGGAGCTCATAAAAAAAAAATTCAGCTTTTTAAAATCTACTTGACTCAGATCAGACCTTATTATTTCTTGTCTTAATTAAAGTGTTATTTCAAAACACTCAAATTATATAACTGCTCTTTCAATAAATTGCATTATAATTATTCTTAAATGGGACTCTGTGAAGGCTTGTTATTCTCATAATATATATAAAATTTGCAAGATCTCACTCCAGGTTTAGAATGTTATTGCTAATATACTAAATCTCAAAAGATTATTACAAAGAAAATGCAAATAGCATCAAGCATTGTGATGGGATCTGCATGGAATACACTCAACTGATGATAAAGGAGTTTGTCAGACAGAATTATATACTTCAGGAAATAAATCTGAATGATTAACAAGGTAAATCTGAATATAAACATATACCAAAATAGCATGTCAGACTGAAGTAGTTATCCATTAGATGTAGTACAGCTTAACTGTAGGAGAATAAAAATATATAAAAAAGAATAAATAAGTGTTGAATGATACACTTTCAGTTCAAGCCTTTAATGTGCTTTCAATCACTTTGACAATGCCATTTTTTTTGGTATTTATTTAAAATAAACAAAATAAAAAATTATTGTTTATCCAGTTTTCATATTCAAAGTTTATTATACAGTAGATATAGAAAAAGTTTTTCCATGATGTCCAACAGAAAACAAGCATCCAACTCCATAAGAGATGATATTTCGCTTCCATTTAATTCCATTCAGAATGTTTCTTCGGAATTCAATTCTTCTTATTCAAATAAACATTGAATAATTTGTCCTATAACTGTTTTCTATGCTGCTGTTATTTTTCTGAACTTTCTGACCTAAGAAAGCAGCTGCTAGCAGATGCCAGTGTTTCTTCTATATTTTATATGGTTTGATTTCTGTTACTTCTGAACCTGTTTAAATAGCTTCCCATGGACATTTAATTAGATAATGAAAAAGAAACTTACAACCACACAAAAATCCAAAATCTGTGGGAAACTGAGAAATAATTTTATTTTATTTTTTTCCAAAAACTTGATTCAAATCAACAAAAGTAATGGAATGATTCCCACTTCTTGCTATAAGCTCAAGTTTTTGACAGTAGGAGATCAAGTAGGAGCACATGGTGAATGCTTCTCATTTCCTGCTTATACAACCATGAACAATATTTTTAACAAGAAGAGTTACTTTTGAAATAAATTAAGCCTGAAGAGTACTAACCTACTCAATGGACATGCCTGTTCGTCTAGCTCTACTGACTCCTTTGAAGGTGGCATACATATATGTTGTAGGTGTTGATGCACTGTTCAAGAAATTTAGGCCTTCTATTTGATCTTCCGGAAGCGGGAGACTAGAAAACCATTTTTTTTGTGGCTTAGTGCATTCAGCTTAGAATAAATATAGCACTGTATCCTTCAAATCTACAATTTTCACCAACTAACCTTAGTTAAATGCAAAGGGCTAGTTTCTTTTTCAAGCTGAATGTTTAGTAACCAATAATTTAATGCATAAGGTGTTTTGCTAAGCAAAAATAAACGCTATACTTTTATTTGATCAATCACATGTGGAAGAAGAATTTGACATAGTTACACCCAAAACTTTTTTTTGTAGTTAGGACAAGTATATATGGCTTTTCTCTAAGCTGGAAACATAACTTTGTATAGCACTGACATATAAGATTAAGATAGCTGAAAGATTATCTCAGAATGATGTAGTAAGTCATAGCTTTTATTAATGGGTATTTGGATGTGAACAGTTAGTGGATGAGCTACTAAGGGAGTGGAAGTGAGATTTATAGTTTATAATATGGATTTAGGCTATGCCATCTTTCTTTTAGACTTAGAATATAATTTTGCTAAGGTATTTTAAATATTCAGTTCTTTACTGAATTGTGGAAGAATACTGAATTTGTAGTGACAAAATTGTTCAGCCAGATCCAAATAAGGTGAAAAGCCAATATACAAAGCAGTATCCTAGAACATGACAATCTATCCAGCCTGTTAAGATATCTAAACAAACTAATATTTTGTCTGAAATTGTTCTTTGAAGACAGTGTAGAAAAGCAATGGAATGACTTGGTCTTGCAGATCAGTGGAAAGTCTGAGGTACTGATGAGCGCAGAAAGACTGAGATGCAAAAGTACACAGGGCCCAATGAAACTGATCAGAATTATGCTCAGAGTATGGAAAAAGTCAATTAAGCATGATTAAGGAAGATGTCACATAAAAGAGAAGAAAAGCCAAAAAGTTTTTGCTTTTTGAGTTCGAAAATCTTTTTAAAAAGATCTCAAGATATTATTCAGTGCAAAGATGAAATGAGATAGTTAAACTTTTGTCCTGCTTGGGTTTTTCTTTGATTTGATTTCTTACCAGTTACAACCACATCTCAAATTAAGCTGCATCCCTGAAAAGGCTTAATAATAACTGTATATAGTGTAAAACTCTGCACCATACAACAAGATTATTTGAGTTGGTTGATAAAAGAGCAGAATATACTTAAGAACAGGACACAGGTAAAAATAACTTGGAAAATGCTGGATTAATTTCTCAATCCACGTGCTGCACCCCCTTGAGTTGTGTTTATCTCATTGCTTTGTGTTCTCTACATGTAACTAAACTGCAGTCAGTTCCTCTGCTTGGATCATTTATTCTGGTCAGCAGCCAATAGAGTTCTGAGTGCCACCTCAGTAAATCCCAACTAATATTTTCACAGTTGAATAAACTGTGGTACATGAAAACCTTCATAATTCCTTTCATAAACACTTGATATATTCTGTCATAATCAGGTACTGCTTATTCATTCACTCTATCCTGAATGCCTGTGGCTTATAAGTTATGCAGGCATTTACCAGCACATAGCAAAGAGGACTATTGATTAAATATATGTCTAGGAGTATGAAGGAAATGTAGACAAAGCTTTAAAGGCCAAGAAAAATTTATCTACAATTTTTTATTGTGTAATATTTT